TGGTGTGTAATGCTGGTTTACTAGAAAAATGGCAGAGATAATAGAAGTTATTATTAGAAATACATAAAGGATATACAATGTACATATTAAGGACTCCATTGGATATTATATTATATTAAAATAAAAAGGATGAAAACATGCCTGGCTTTTTTTTTAATGACACCTGGGATTTTATTTTTTTTTAGCACAGGTGATAAATCAGGTGAAAATGTGCGTTACCTATTGCATAAACAATCTGTTAAGTATATTTCTGAGGAAAGTAGACGCTCTGATAGCTTCTTTATGTGGAACTTGTTATTATTGGTCATGCTCAGAAAACACCCTATGGATTTATCCACTATGACTTGAAGTTTAAAAGTTATCACACAAGGACAGTTGAAGAGCAATAAATAACAAAAGCAAGACCCAGGGGAAGAAGCATCCACTGCATTCAAGTATGAACGCGTGAGGGTAGGCAATGAGCATCTTTTATTTCTCAGCATCTGCTCCCTCCCTTACACCCTTAGTTTTCCACTGGAGATCCTGTTGGGTAGTTTATGGATTAGCATGTGGTAATTAAGGGGGCATGGAATTGCAAAGGCTTTGGATTCATCTGGGCTCACTCTCACACTCAGTTTCTTCTTGTTTCTCGCTACCTTTGATTCTTTTTTTTTTTTATTAGTGAAACACCATGAGGTACAGTTGTAGATTTACAAATTTTTGTGCTTGGATTTCGGTCATACCATGATCAAATACCCATCCCTCCACCAGTGCCCATTTTCCACCACCAGGATAATATCCCTCCCCCCCATTCCCCCCAACCCCCCCTGCCACTGTGGCAGGGCATTCCCTTTTGTTCTCTCTCTCCTTTTGGGTGTTGTGTTCAGCAAAAGAGGCATTGAGTGGCAAACATGTTCAGTCCAGTCTACTTTCAACCTGCATCTCCCCTCCTGGGAGGATCCTCCACATACCCTCCATTTGGTGCTCCCTTCTCTATCTGAACTGTCCTTTCCCCTAGAATACCCAGCTGGCCTCTAGGCTATGGAGTAATCCTCCTGGTGTTGATCTCAGCTATTCTTGGGTATTAATCTCATATTTTGTTATTTTATATCCCCCAGATGAATGCAATCTTTCTATGTCTATCCCTCTCTTTCTGACTCATTTCGCTTAGCATGATACTTTCCATATTGTACCACTTGTATGTAAATTTCATGACTTCATCTTTTCTAAGAGCTACATAGTACTCCATTGTGTAGATGTACCAAAGTTTCTTTAACCAGTCATCTGTTCTTGGGCACTCAGGTCTCTTCCAGTTTCTGGCTACTGTAAAGAGTGCTGCAGTGAACAAACAAGTGCAGATGTCACTTCGACTATACATTTTTGCCTCTCTGGGATATATTCCCAGGAGTGGTATCGCTGGGTCAAATGGGAGCTCAATTTCTAATTTTTTGAGGAACGTCCATACTGTTTTCCAAAAGGGCTGAACCAGACGGCATTCCCACCAACAGTGAAGGAGTGTCCCTTTCTCGGTGCCTGGCTTTTTTTTTGCTGGCATTACTGAGAAAATTGTGGGCAATTCTGTGACCACAGACAGCTGTGAGCCACAAACCATAAGAAACAAAAACCAGGGTCAAAGATTCGGCTTTGAATGTATTGAATCTGAACTGCTAATGCACAGTCAAATAGAAATGTTATTGATATCTGTCTATTTCTGGAAAACAGTATCCACAAAACATACTTATTTTAAAATAGTAAGGAATGGAATTTGGGGACGGCGTATCCTTTGGTTGGTAGTAAGAAGAGGTAGGCTCTTTATTTGTGAGATCTTTGGCTAATCATTTAAACTCTCTGGACCTCTCATTCACCATTCGTGAAATGATGGTTTATACTTGATGTGTTCACATCATTTTACTACTCATTCTTGTCTACATGAATGAATGGAGTCCCTTAACCTTTACAGGTAAGTTACCTCCTACGAACAATACTCTTCAAATGGTATACAATCCAGAGAGGAGGCCCACTTGCCCATTCCTAGCCATGACAGTCTTTAGTCTTCACCAGTAGCTTTTCTTTTGGAACAAATTCAGTGGTCCCAGATTGCCTGTTACTTCTTTAGGCAGGAAAGCTTATTTTCCTCTATCTGTGAAGGATAAGGCTCTAGAAGAAATTCTGATTGGTTTGCTTCTGTGGCTGCAGCAGGATTCCATTTACCACATAGTCAAGGTGGTAATGAGGCTCTCTATACTAAGTGTGGCTGCCATCTGGCAGGCCAGTCCCATACACTCAGCAGACAGAACCAATTAGACCACACACCTCCCACCAGGCTTTGTGTGTGGTGGTTGGGTATTAACCCTACTGAGCCTCTTCCAAGAAACTTCATTGATTTCTGGAAAGGGGGGGGGGCACAAATACCTTTCTCTCACACTATGGACCTAGCAAAGAATCCAAATTATGAGATTGACCCAGGTTCGATTCCTCTGCCCCTCTTGGAGAGCCCAGCAAGCTACCGAGAGTATTTCACTCGCACAGCAAAGCCTGGCAAACTACCCGTGATGTATTCGATATGCCAAACACAGTAACAAGTGTCACAATGGAGACGTTTCTGGGCCCGCTTGAGCAAATCGATGAACAACAGGAGGACAGTGACAGGACAGTGAAGAAGAGTATACTCAAAAGAACGTGTTTAATATATAATGGCCAATTTAGTATCGACCAGAATGGGCAGTTTGATGTGGTACATGTGGTGTCATAAAACAAACATTCACTCTTAGGAGAAAAAAAAACAGAGAAGATTTAAATGGCCTTAAATTAAAAAATAAAAAATAGTCATGTTATAGTCATCTAAAAGGAATGGATGCAGTCTGGTGATTAAGGACTTACAGTCCACACAAAAATGTCACTTCTCAATCTTATGATATATGCACTTGATTTCTTCAGTTTCTTCATCAATGAACTTTAGATAATAAGAATTCTTACTTCACTGGATACTTGGAGAAGTATGTTAGTGTGTAGAAACATATATATATGAATATATATCTGAATATATACATATATAGAGAGAGAAACTAGAATAGTGTCTGGCACAGTATATGCTATCTATGTTAGTTCTGAATATTACTCTCAGAGATCTATTCAAGATGATTCTTTAGATGCATATTGTGAATCCAGGGGAAGAAATCTTGAAGCGCCTCAGTCTGGATAAAGATAGTAATAAATAATAATTTTCACTTTATATCTAAGATGCATTGAGAAAAGAAGACGGAAAAACATATTCCAAGTTTTCTTTGGTTGATTATGTATTCTTTCTATCTATATTCTCCTTCTATTCCCCAAATTGTTGCGTAAGTTAAGGTTATGTAATCTTTAAATTATAAATGAAAATAACAATTTAAGTTTAAAAAATAAAAATGATCACATAGGGTTAAGTTCAAAAATAAAATGGTAAAAATATATGAAAAACCTGATTAATAATAAAATATCTTTAAACCATAATTCTAACCCTAGGGTCAACTTTAAGGGAAAAAATTAAGTTAGCTATACATATATATATATGTGTGTGTGTGTGCATACATATATAAATATATATTTATCAACAACGGGCTGGAGCGATAGCACAGCGGGTAGGGCGTTCGCCTCACAAGCAGCCAACATGGCCGACCCAAGTTCGATTCTTCCGCCCCTCTCGGAGAGCCCGGCAAGCTACCGAGAGTATTCGATATGCCAGACACAGTAACAACAAAGTCTCCAATGGAGACGTTACTGGGCCCGCTCGAGCAAATCGACGATCAACGGGAGGACCTTTACTTACTTTACTTTACTATTTATCAACAAATGTATTAAAGTAAGAGTTAAAATTAAGTAAGAACCTTGAGTGAAAACTTCAGAAGTTCATATCAGATTATTTTACTGGCAGAAAAATGTTATTCTTTGCAGGTGCATAAATTATTACTCTGACGATTCCCTGATTCAAGGATTCAGTATGAGTTAACTAAAAGAAGACATTAACTGGAGATTAGGAAGTCTGGGTGCAAGAATAGTGTCTGCCACTAATATTTTTATCAAGTCACATTTATTTCTAAATTCATGTTTAATGAAATCTTGTACCAGGGGCGCTGAAGTCCATTGGTAGCTGTTAACCACTACAAATCATAATACTTCAGAATTCTTCTGTGCTGAAGAGCACAGATCCATAGACTTACTTTCATTTTCCCATGACTAAAGACTACTTAACATCAGATTTAGAAAGGGTTATTAAAATTATAAACTAAAAATAATTATGTTAGAGTTTACTGAATACTAATTCAGTTTTCTACAAAAATATCTGGCTGTCACTTAATGCTTGGCAGTACTACAAAACTCCCACTCTATGTATCTGCTTAACTGCAATTTCAGCAATTTTTGGAAATGTACTTTGTTATCAATGAAACATTAGCTTAGTTTTGATTTGGATCCAGTTTTCAGTTGCTGCTATTTTTTTAAAATTTTTAATTGCAAATTAAATATCATTTATATTCACCATTATCCGGTTAGTCTGTTGTGAAGTGTTTGGTTAATTCTTAACAGAGTGCAGAGCTATGGGTCTCTATCAAGACCGAGTTTGGGGTTGACAATCTTTTGATATCTAGGTCTCTATGAAGATTGAGAGTTTTGGGTTGACAATCTTTTGATATCTAGATATGGTTGCTTTAGATTTTGAAAGATAATGATATCATAATGCAATGTTAAAGTATATAAAGTTTCACTTTCCAACACACTCTGAATCACAGTAACATTTATGCCTATATCACTGCCACAAAATTAGTCACGAAGAGTAAACTGACCGATGCTGCTTTCTTGGTAGTTAAGAAAGATGAAGTATGCCTCCAAATTTATTTTATATTGGAAATAAATGGACCTAATTTATAATTCCACATTATTAGCATCAAGTGTCAGAAGAGTGTGCTACTGTGAATATGTGTTTCCTTCCTAGCCTGGGTTTTCCTAATCAAGTGCCAAGAAAAGTTCTGGTATTTGTCACTCACTTTGTCATTCAAAAATCTTCTACCATGCAGTCCGGTTAGGTGTTTCTGGATGCTCTCTGGTTTCTGGGTGTTCTCAAGATGTTTATTCTCTTTCACCTCTTTTGTTTCATTATTGATTTGGTGATCAGCAGGATTTGCAGAAGCTGAGGGGTCTCCGCTCACTCGTGCTGCATTATTAGTCACGGATTTCTGGTGTACGGGTTGAGTTTCTGCCTTCAAGTTCTCATTCTCCTTACTGTGAAGACACAGTTTTGTACCATGTTACTCACAGGGCAAACTCTCTATGTACAGGCTGCATGAGGAACAGAAGGTGTTAGTCTGGTGTGTGAACAGGGTTAACTCCACATGGTGTAGTGAAGAAGAAAATGATGGTTATTTGTCTATGGGTTATTTACCAAGGAAAGGCCATGTTATTATCTTCTCATGTTTTATCTGCTCCCACTCTCTTCCTCATACTCACGAACATAATCCCTCCATCTGCTCTGAAACTCCAAAGAAAGTAATGGCAGTGTCAAAAATGAACTCTGGAGGTTATCATGTATCTTACTTACCAGTCTAACAGGTATTTTTAGTTTCTGCAACTAGAAAAGGAAGAAAGTCAAGGCAGTTTGCCAATTCTGACTCTGCTTTATCTCTTCTCAATTACTTTACTATGAAGCAACTTTTCCTCTTAGTGTCTTCTAATTTTTATATTAGAGAAAAGGGGAAAAAAGTGATTCAAATAATGTAAATGATAAACTAATCTAAAAGCTATTCAACTTTAATAATGAAACATGAGTCAAAACAATTATCATATGCCATTCTGAAAAAAGAAAACTCTGAAAATAAAAACTCGATGCTAATTGCCACATAAATAGGAGTAATAAAAATAGTGGATAGTTTGGAAAATGTATTAAGGATTAGGGATTTGACATTCATTACCGGGGCTGGAGCGATAGCACAGCGGGTAGGGAGTCTGCCTTGCACGCGGCCAACATGGCCGACCCGAGTTCAATTCCTCTGCCCCTCTCGGAGAGCCCGGCAAGCTACCGAGAGTATTCGATATGCCAGACACAGTAACAACAAAGTCTCCAATGGAGACGTTACTGGGCCCGCTCGAGCAAATCGATGATCAATGGGAGGGCCTTTACTTTACTTAATTTACTCTAAAATAAATTTTAAGAATATGTTATAGGAGAATCTTAAGAAGAAAAACTGAAAACTAAGAATTTTGTTTTAAGTGGATAAGCTGAATATTTAATTCTTATATGAAAGATATATAGTTATTACATAATTATTAAAGGTAAAGGCCCTCCCGTTGATCATCGATTTGCTCGAGCGGGCCCAGTAACGTCTCCATTGGAGACTTCGTTGTTACTGTGTCTGGCATATCGAATACTCTCGGTAGCTTGCCGGGCTCTCCGAGAGGGGCGGAGGAATCGAACTCGGGTCGGCCATGTTGGCTGCTTATAAGGCAGACGCCCTACCCACTGTGCTATCGCTCCAATAATTATTAACATTTTTAATGACAAAAAATCTTGTTATCTAACCTGAAAGCTTTGTAACCTTTCCCACGGTGATTCAATAAATAAATAAAAAAAAATCTTGTTATCTTAGCTATATAAGCTGCATGTTTATACTGTATGCTTCTAAGGCCTTCCCTTCAACATGTTCTGGCTTTTGCTACAATTTAAAGTATATAAGGTTATTTGATCATATAATAAACAGTTCGAAATAAATTTTTATATTTTGTTTGTAAACCCAAACATAGATAATGATTTGTATATTCAAGTATATATATTCAAATATAGACATATTCAAATATATGCCTTTTTAATATTAGGAGCATAAGAAGAAAATTAGGCCAAAGAAAGCTCTAAGAAACATTTATTTGTATCTAGGAGGAAATAAGGAGATTTAAACAAAATTTTCAGCAAAAGTTTCAAGGTCTTGACAAAAACTGATGTGAATTTTTCGGAGTTTGGAAGTAATAATAATAATTATTATTTGGGTGGTGATGTTTGGGGCCACACCTGGTAGTGCTCAGGGGCTATTTCTGCATCTGTGTTCAGGGGACACACCAGTAGTACTGGGGGAAGATACGTTGTATCAGGGATTAATAAGGGTCAGCCATGTGCAAGGAAAGCATCATAACCCCTGTACTGGCTCTTCAGTCACAGAGTCAAGGTACAATAAATAGTGTCAAGTGCTACTGAGAAAATGTTAATGTAATGTAATGGACTCTGAAGTATGTCCATTGAGTCAAGCTATAAGGACCTGAAAAGAATGCGATAAAGGGAGCTTCAAAGAGGTAATGAACCTTGATGCTAGATAAAAGTGGGTATAAGAAAATAAAGACAGAAAATATGTAGATTTCTTGAGAGAAATGTGGTTGAAGGAAGGGACAAATAACAAGATGATTGAGATAACTGGGGTCAATGTAGATTTTTTGATGGAGTATTATTATTACGTTTAAGGGCAATAGGGCGGGGGGACTGGAGTGATAGCACAGCACCTAGGGCGTTTGCCTTGCACGCGGCTGATCCAGGTTCAATTCCCAGTATCCCAGATAGTATGCCGAGCACCGCCAGGAGTAATTCCTGAGTGAAGAGCCAGGAGTAACCCCTGTGTATCACTGGGTGTGACCCAAAAAGAAAAAAAAATTAAAGACAATAGGGGATTTGAGACCTTTTAAATTATTTTTTAATGAAACACCATTAGATAGAATTACAAACTTACACATTTTCGTGATTACATTTCAGTCATACAATGGTCAAGTACCCATCCTTCCACCAGTGCCCACGCTCCACTATCAGTGTTCTCAGTATCCCTCCCCCTCCCCTCCCTCCCCCCCTTCCCCACCTCCATGGCAGGCACATTTCAAATTTAAATTGAGACATTAAAATGCTGGTGAAGACCCAAATAAACTAGAGAATGGAAAAAGTATCACTGATGACATAAGGTGAATCCTGATAAAGTGAGATAGGAAGATGAGATGTGAGTCATTGATAGAACAAAGATAAAATTTGTACTTAGAATTAGATAATTCAGGACAGAGGTACATTTGTGTATTTAGTGACAGCATTGAGTTTCTCTTTGACATCTGATGTATGATTTAACTGTTGGGTATTAAGGGGAGTGTGCTAAAGTTGAAAGTCTTAAGATCAGATGGTTTAAAATATTTGTGATGAAGTACAGAAGAGAACTTATCAGTAAGAGAAGGAAAGTTGGCTGGCTACAACTGAAGGGCAGATGTTGGGTACATTTCGTGTTCTCGCTCTGAGATGGTGCATGCTGTCCTTTAGGATTTCCCAGTAGCTTTTGTGGTGATGCAGAGATGTCAAACAGTGGGGCACATTCAGGTCTAGGGTTATGTCATGTGAACATAGTTCAGTGACCACAGAGCATATTAGAAATATTGGAAGCAGAGCGCGTACTTAATTATTCTTGCAATGAGAAAAGGCATAGAATCCCTGACCTCAAAACGTCATTTTATTTGGTTGCCTCAAGAAACACAAATGATGAAATTAATAAGTAGATAATGAACCTACTATATACCAGGATATTGATGATATTTTTAGGGTGATACAGAGTTCAGAAGGGCAAGCCTGGGGCACTCTGAATATATTGGGATTATTTTCTTAAACCATGTTTGCATCATGGATATGTCATGCTTGTGAAAACTAATTGAGTGATCTACAAATGATGTGCACTTTCATGTGTATGTGATTATACACATCAATACATTTCTATAAAATGTTTTAAAATTGGTACAAAATTGTCATAAATAATGCAGTGAGCATACAACTAAATGTGAAGTAAAATTTACAGAGAATCATTGCTATTTGAAATTAGAAAGAGCAACAACAAAGGTCAGCAACAATCACAAAATTGTTATGATATGCACCGGGCCTGTTCTACTGATTCCCAGTGAAATCTCCTAGGAGACACACGCTACGCAGCTAAAATTTATGGAATTCTGGGTCCCTGCAGCTGAAACCTCCAGGGTATCCTCAGAAAGCAGGCAAGCTGAGTAACTGCCCAACCGAAGTCTCAGGAGTGGCAACCACATGCCACCACTGCAGCCACACCAAGGGCTCAAATCTACCTCCACAAATATTCTCTGCAAAGATGCTAAACTGAAAATAATTTCAGGTACCCCATACCCAGGCTGAGAACTCTGCTTTTGTTGTTGTTGTTGTTGTTTTAATAATGAAATTTGCTTTATTTTTATTTTAAATTTCTTTTCTTTCTTTTTGGGTCACACAGGTGGTGCTACAACCAGCAGTTAGGAAAGAATCCATGAAAGTTTGGGAATATATGCTGAGCAGAAAGTAGAATAGATGTCAACCAAATCAGGCAGTACAGCCCTGAAAGACAAACATGGTCATAGGGAAGAGTTAATGTTTCTGACTGAAAGCAAGGTAGGTAAGCCATTCTTGCATTAATCACCTTCCAAAGCCTTTTGTGGGCAGCCTGAGACAGAATTGCCTGGGAGATATGTAATCTATCCGACTGACTGTTAAGACAATCACAGTAGAAGTAAAACCAAAAATAACCTGTTAAATCTGTTCAAAGTAAAAGCTGTTTTTTAAAGAAAGATACATAGCACTTTAAAATCATCATGAGAATGACTCTCCAACTGAGAAACTGCATGCGTCTGCTATTCGCACAAACAATTCCTCAACCCACATAGTAGTTAGGCTGTTCACAAACTCACAGTTCTTTCTCCTAGTCTTGCGTGTTATTTACCTGCAATGCTAAAAACAGAAATTTGCTATTTCAAAAGGGGTGAGCAGAAGATGCCATTAATGTTCTCTTGGAAGCCAGACACGTCTAGCTTCCATATATGTACTTATAAACCTCAGCTGCTGCTCTCAGGGATACCATGAAGAGATTGGTGTCATCCAGGAGTGACAGCAATTAGGAGGATTACTGTATTGCTGGATGCTAAATTAATAAGGTGAAAAAACTGTTCTATTGTTTCCTTCTTTGCCCTAAGCTCTTCCTGCAAGCCAGCTGCATAATGCCCTCCTGCACAGGAGCTAGCTCCAAGTCTTGTGGTTATAAAGAACCACTGTAAGGGCTTCAAGTAATATCCTCTGACCAAAGCAATGTAGTGCTCCCCCCCCGTTGTCCCCCACCTCCCAAGTAACTCCAGATCACCAGATCTCACATTTGATTTGGATGACACCCCTGCTGAGAACATCAAATCTCAAATAGAAGACCCAGGGGGCTCAGCAAAAAGGTCACCAG